CATTTAACTCCAAACCACAAATGTCAACCTTATTGTTGCACAATAGGAAAAGTCAGGTTATCAACAAAGTCATCAGGATTCACCATCTGGGAACCACGAATATTTGTACCCAATTCTAGTGGCAGTGCATTAGCTGTTTCACTAGATGAGTGAGAAAGGACCAAGACCCAAGACCCAACCCCCGAAAAAAATCTGCCTTTGAGGATTGTGACAATTATTGATTTGCCAAACAATGTATATGTATTTCCTTAGATGCCTTCTCAAGCACCAAACACTGGCATTGAATTTTCAAGCTGGTGTACTATCACTTTGGCCCCATGGGTACCTAAATAGCACCAAATACTCAAAATAAACATGTGACTTCAGCAGGATCCTACATGAGCTAGAAAAGCCACCAGTGTCTGTGAGATTTATCCTCTGTGGATCATGAACCTCTGTACAAAATTCCATGGCAACCCGTCAAATAGTTGTTGTGACAATTCACTCAAAACCACAATTGTCAGGCTGATAGTGGCACAATAGGAGAGGTCAGGGGATCACCAATGTCATTAGGATTCACCATCTGGGAACCATGAATGTCTGCACCCAATTTTGGCAGCAATGCATCTATTTGGCTTTTCACTGAATAAGTGAAAACTGGCCTGCTAGTGATGCTAAAAGAAAGTCAGGGGATCACCAGAGTCAGTGAGATTTATCCTCCGTGGATCATGAACGTCTGTACAAAGTTCCATGGTTATCCATCATATAGTTGTTGAGATATTTGGGTCAGGACCACAGTGTTGGACCCAACGACCGGTGTACTGCTGGCATGGCTAAAAACATCTGTAGTGTCACCAGAATGGAGACAAATGGAAACTGTGAGCATCTTCTGACAGGGAGAGTCATCGTTTTATCACACGTCAGAAGAAATATGGCTCAACTGGGTGGGGTGGTGGAAATCCTGCCGTGTGGCAGGTAGACAGACTGACCTCTTGTGCCCCACTAGAGTTTTTACCCATTGCTGTGCCAAGGTCAAGCTCAAGCAAGAGCAGGAAAACCCCATCCCCACCCTGCTACCTCATCACTGCCACCAGCCACACAGGAACACTGTGCACTCTGTGTAGCAGTGCAGCCAAATATAAAACCACTGGCAGAGATGCCGTGTATATAATCAGAGACTCCTGCCTCTTTTTTCCATGTGGAATTTAGGATAATTTTACGTTTAAAAAACTGTCATTAACCACAGTTATTCGGCTGAAAATAGAAAGCATGCATGAATAACTAGGTCTACATGGCAGTGGAGCTGTGCTGCCAGGTGGTGCCACTTATTTTTTTTTTCGGGACATACAGAAGAGGGATTTACAGCCATCTCACAGTATTAGAGGTACCCCCAGCGGAACACAAAGGAGCTCCAGACAAAACGTCAAACCAACTGTAAAATATGCCATTAGTCTCTTTGTCTTTGTGAAATATTGACCCTGTTCGTCCCTGTGATTCAAATAGTTTTCGAATAGATCCTGGACACTGACAAGATGGCCTTTTGTGAGGCCCAGCTGTGGGGGGCACAGGAGGCCCATGCTGTTCTTTCTGAAGAAGACACGACTTGTAACGAGCTTGTCAGGGGCCATCTCTCCTTTAGAGATGGCAGCCTGCATGACACGACCAGAGCAGAGTAATGAGGCTTCACAGAGAACACCATGTACTTCACAACCACAAGACACCTCTCGGTAAAGTGGGTCTTCATCGTTAGAGCCAGTTGTGCTTTTAAGACGGAGTGTCGTCAAAGAATGAATGAAAAGAAACCAGCTGGTGCTGAAAAAAGTCCTTTGGAAGAATCAAAAGCAGTTTCATTTCTATGACCTTCATTTGTTCCATTTAAAGCCGACTTGATCTGCATTACATGACTGCACTTTCCATACTGCAAGATAAGTATATGTGTCTGAAAAAGCCCCACCTCCCACACCAGCACATCAGACAAAAGCTGTCTGGTAACCTTAGACCCCTAAACTATGGACGATTCCTCGCCATCGAACTCAATGCACTATAATGAGCGATTTAAATTCAGCGTGTTCCCTCATGTCTGCTTCATCCTGGTGTCCCTCTTCCACTGTGTCGGAGAAGACAACTGCGAACCTTAAATGAAACCACTTAGTCCCCACTAAGGGGACCCTAAACCAGGAACTTTTAAAAGAGATAGAGGTCTCAGTAATCTGCCGGCCTCGTTCATGTCTTTGTTCTAATGAAAATTGTTCACAGCAGGGTCTGTGAGTTATGCTGAGTACACTGTTTCCTGAAAGCCACATTGGTGTTGAGTTTGTCTTTTAAATGAACATTTTGTCAATGCTTCAGCACTGCATGTGAATTTTTATACACCACAACTATACTGGACTTGCAGAAAAATCTTATCAGAAGACCAACACACGATCTGAATCTATCTTCATGGCTAACTGATACTTAATGCAATATTCTGATTCTGAATTTAACAAAACACCCTCCTTAGTAGCTAATGGCACCCAGCAACATCATGACATGAACTAAAAAAAAATCTGGCTTCCCTTAAAATAAAAATTATGATGCCTCTCATAAGACATAACTAGTGGGTGAAGTCATTTGGAGCTAGTAACAGGATTTATTTTCTCACGTGCCGTAAACATTGCATAAGACAAACAATGCAGCTCAGGTTTCAGCTCCTCTTACAGTGAGAAATCACACACAAGGATTGCAAAAGCTGTGATGATGAGGCTTTGGGCGTTACAGAAGTCAACTGAGGATGCCGGATCCATTCTCTCCTGACTCTGCTAGTTGGGGCTGAAGGGAAGCACACAGCGAGAGTCTGGCTCTATGAAAGCACTGCAAGGCTGGCTGAGGCAGCCCGGCTGAACTCAAATGACCCACATTCAGGGACCATCCAATCAAATAAGCAGAAAGAGCCATTATTATCAGAATTTATGGGACACAAACCAATCATGAAGCCAGACGCCGGAGCATATCCAAACAGAGAGGCAGGCGAAAGGAAACGCTTAATAGGCAAAGAGACAAGGGCAGGGCTTATACGGAGCAATAAAACTGCACTTAAAACACATGGTCGGGGCTGAGGGGAAGCACAGCAAGCGCTGGAGGCTGAGCTTCTCTCGGAGAGCGCTGCTGCAAGTTTGGCTCAGACAAGGCAGCTGAACTGAGATGACTCACGTTCTGTGACTACCCAATCAAATAGGCAGAAAGCGTCCCTATTATCAGAAATTACAGGACACAAACCAATCACAAAGCCAGACACGGGAGTGTGTCCCATAAGAAAGGAAAGGCTTATTAGGCAGAGAGACAAGGGCAGGGCTGATAGACAGTAATAAAACTGCACTAAAACACACAGGGTGGAAGACACTGGCATTTTATTCCCTTTAGAAAGCTATTTAAGTAATGATGCTGGAGTATGATGGCTCTATTATGTGCACATACATAAGTCAAGACAGTGTCTCATTCCTGGTCTGGACAAACACTGATTACACACCACTGCACCAGGCTGCAGCTGACGAACAAAAGGTGGTGCATGTATGTAATTCTTAATGAAATATGACTAGAATCCAACAGTATAGCACAGGCCTATGGTGTCTTATTGTGTGTCCTTACAGTTTTGTGCTGTGTTTTCTTAAATCACATATGGCATCCATATGAAATTCTTCTGGGATAATAAATGTAGTGATATAAGGACACACACCAATCACAAAGCCAGACAGGGGAGTGTATCCTGATACAAAGGCAGGTGATAAGAGAAGAATAGGCAATGAGACAAGAATTTACCACTGAAAGGAAGGGTCACGGATTTTTTATATAATGAGACAAATGAGGGGGGATTGTGCAATGTCAACATATTTTTGAATTATGTGTGTTTTCCTTGCACATATTTCAGCCTAATTAAATTTCTATAGGAACTCAAATATGGGTCAAGTTCACACAAGGCTTTTCTTATGTGATCCAGAGAGATGTGTTTTGTTTCGGGGCTGTCAGGCTGATGTATGTGTGTGTGTATTTGTGTATGTGTGGAGAAAGGAGGATGGAGGTGGGGAGAGGGAGTGTGAGCTGCAGTCTACAGAGCACAGGGAAGGAGAGGCTCCTCAGTCGAGGCTCAGCTAGCTGAGTCTGTTGCTGGCCAGATCAGCTGGCAGTCTGTCTAGCGGGGGTGTGGCACATCACAACAAAGGGCTTTGGGCAGACAGGCGACTGCACAGCTCTTATCAACCCCCTCAATTTGAGTCGATCTACATCTTTCTTTTCCCCCCACTCTTCCTCTCTCTCTCTCTCTCTCTCTCTCTCAGTGGCGGAATGCAAAGAGCAAATATGTGGAGCTATGGTCCTTGAGGAAAGTCAAACACACTGCTGATGTGGAGCGCATTGCATAGGGTGACGGTACAACCTACTGGATTGATCTTGGAAACTTTTTGCATGTCAGTGCACACTTAGCTCACCCTGTGATGTGCGCATTACCAATGTTGTTGTTTCGCCTTCTCGTGACGCCAAAGTTGACTTTAATTATTGCGCGCAGGAGAAAACTGGAAACCTGATCTGTGTCATTTTCTTCTGCGTTTGCACTGCAGTTTCGGCTTGTACATACTGTCCAATGCAGGGGGGGTTGTAAGAGGAAAGCAGTGACAAAGCTTTGGAGACTTGAGTGGGAGTGGCACTATTTTTGACCCCCCCCCCTCCTGAAATTAAAAAGGACATTTCGCAAAGTTCATACAAGTTAAAGGAACAAAGCAGTTATTAAAGCTATGCGCCAATTTGCGCTTCTGCTGTGCCGTGCGCGCCTGGTGTTTCCATTTAGGGTGGATCCGTGAATGTTTACACATATGACTCGATGAAACCCAGCAGTCAGTCACCCTCCTCTATACAAATATCGGTTTGAATGTAAAAGGAAACCACACTTCTTATCAGCATTCTCAGTTTTAATAATCCGTCCTCATATAGGCACAGGGAGCAACAATAAGTCATGTTCACAGCAACAAACATTCGCATCCAATCAAACTGACCTGTGTGTGTCCTTAGATGAGCTTTGAGGTGGGATGATTTGCCATAAACTTTTTCACAACCTGAATAGTGGCATTTGTGCTTTTTCTGAGGTGATTCTTGCTCAGTTCGACCTCGCGATCTTTTGCCTCTTTGTTTGAGCGAAGGATCGGAGATGGTGGTAGGTGTGGCAGAGTTTCCATCATCTATGAGGTTCGGCATGCTCTCATCCTTTATTTTTGCCTGCTCGGCAACATTGTTGGGAGTCTGCTGGTTAAAATCCGCCAGGATCCGCGCCACCACAAAAAGAGAGGAGTTGTCTTTCACCAAAGGCTCTTTAATTTCCTCTCCGTTCTTGGAGGAGGACGGGATTTCTGGTTTAATCTCCCTATTCCCTTTAGGTGCGTGAACAATTGCACGACTGGACATTGAAACAAGGCACTCTGCTGCAAAGTGATCCATTTTGTCTTTGAAACAGCCCCCTCTGCTTCTTAGTGACATTCAAAAAATGAAAAATGATGGCGTGAGAAAAAAACCCAACTTGTTCCGTGGTTCCCTTTGTGTGGTGGCGTTGAGGTGGAGGAGGAGGTCGTTCTCATCAGAGAGAACTGACTTTATGATCTTACCCGGCTTTCCAATATCATCAACATCCTGTGTGAGAGAGAAAAAAACGCCTCGGACAAAAATGCAGACAAGCCCCTTTCAGAGAGAGAGAAACAAAAACAGAAACCCAAAGTCTTTGTTTAGTGCAACGACGCTGGTGACAGGACCTCTACAAACTTGGATGTGTTAACTCCCATCGCGGCTTCAAACACTCTCCAGCATAGTGAGTGTGTCTCCTGAGCGCCTGTTCCTGCTGGTTGTATCCATGCTGGGGGCGTGTCGACCGGCAGCGCTCGGCAGCATCGTCAGAGTAGGCGCTCATTCATTGGGTACAGCGTGTCCCCAAATGCACCGACCAACACGAGTTAGTTGGAAGTTTCACCTCAGGTATCCTCCATGCATTCAGATGATGTATCTCACAGGCGACACAGTTATGCACTGCAGAGACCTTTAGGAAGAATACATGTTGTATTTCAGGGGTGGCACTCTCTGCAGCATTCTGCACGAGCCTGCATGCATATGAGCTGACGTCCTTTGTTATATTTTGGGAGGATTTTTAAGGAATACTGCTGGTTAGGGATGCAACTAATTATCAGTTTGTTCTGCTGATTGGTCGAAAGAAAAGAAATAGAACACTGGCTTTTTGTTCCTCGCTAATAAAAAGCAGAGGCCTTTTGTTTTGACAGAATTACAGACATTTAGACCATAAACTGATGCAGAACACGCACACAATGGTGCATAAAAATTCAGCACACTGCTGTTTCATGCTCAAAATTGTCTGGCAGAGGACCCCCAAACCCCCTGTTTCATATATGTCCTCCCCAGTTTTGAAATGTAACCTACACCCTTGTCTGCAACATCCAAGACTTCAAGTTATTCCCTGTGCAATGATATTAAACAGAGAAAGGCAACACATCCTCACACTGCAGAAGAAAGTTTTGGCATTAAGTAAATCATTTAAATTAACTAATTATTCAATTATCAAAATAGTCACAAATCAATTTTCTGCAATCCACTAGCCTATGTATTGATATTATTATGTTAGTCTAGCCCAGTCATCAGAAGAAAATGTTGGCGTTGTGTGTTTCTGCAAACCACAAACACATTACACTTGCCTGTTTCATACATATCACATCAATGCTTCTGAAGTAACAAAGTCTTTGAGATGATTTTGTCATTGGGGGGTAGAGGGGATGGTAGATGGTGTGTAACCTCAGCATGACACCTGCCAAGCTGTAGACCACTGTTTGAGACCAACAGACAACAAAACCAGTTTTGTTTTTAGTGAGTCATTGCTGTAGTTTCCAGCAACTTTTTAGACTCCAGACATTGGTGTTTTGTAGCAACCAGTCAGTGTTTACCCAGCAGCTGTTTTTTTGGCTCCAAACGTGGGTGTTTTGTAGCAACCCATCTGTGTTTTCCCAGCAGCTTTTTAGGCTCCAAACATTGGTGTTTTGTAGCAACCAGTCTGTGTTTAGGCAGCAGCTCTTTTGGCTCCAAACATTGGTGTTTTGTAGCAACCAGTCAGTGTTTACCCAGTAGCTTTTTAGGCTCCAAACGTGGGTGTTTTGTAGCAACCAGTTGGTGTTTTCCCAGCAGCTTTTTAGACTCCAAACATTGGTGTTTTGTAGCAACCAGTCTGTGTTTAGGCAGCAGCTTTTTTGGCTCCAAACATTGGTGTTTTGTATCGACCAGTCAGTGTTTTCCCAGCAGCTTTTTAGGCTCCAAACATGAGTGTATTTGCAGTGACCAGTCGGTGTTTTCCCAGCAGCTTTTTAGGCTCCAAATGTGGGTGTTTTGTAGCAACCAGTCTGGCTCCAAATGTTGGTTTTTTGAAGTGACCCGTCGGTGTTTTCCCAGCAGCTTTTTAGACTCCAAACATAAGTGTATTTGCAGTGACCAGTCGGTGTTTCCCCAGCAGCTTTTTAGACTCCAAACGTTGTTTTTTTGAAGTGACCCATCAGTGTTTTCCCAGCAGCTTTTTAGGCCCCAAATGTGGGTGTTTTGTAGCAACCTGTCTGTGTTTTCCCAACAGCTTTTTATGCTCCAAACGTTGTTTTTTTTAAGTGACCTGTCGGTGTTTTCCCAGCAGCTTTTTAGGTTCCAAACATGAGTGTATTTGCAGTGACCAGTCAGTGTTTTCCCAGCAGCTTTTTAGGCTCCAAATGTGGGTGTTTTGTAGTGACCTGTCGGTGTTTTCCCAGTGACCTCCTAGGCTCCAAACATGGGTGTTTTGTCATGGCCTATCAGTGTTTTCCCTGCCACTTTTTAGGCTCCAAACATGAGTGTTTTGCAGTGACCCTTCTGTGTTTCTCCAACAGTTTTTAGGCTCCAAACAGTGGTGTTTTGCAGTGACCTTTTGGTGTTTTCTCAGAAGCTTTTTAGGCTCCAAACATGGGTGTTTTGTGGTGATCCATCAGTGAACAGAGTGCCATGAAAAGCAGTTGTTCTTTACCAAGACATTGCTGTTTGAGACCAACAAACAACAAAACCAGTTTTGTTTTTAGTGAGTCATTGCTGTTGTTTCCAGCAACTTCTTAGGCCCCAAACACTGGTGTTTTGTAACAACCCATCAGTGTTTTTCCAACTGTTTTTAGGCTCCAAACATGAGTGTTTTGTAGTGACCTGTTAGTGTTTTCCCAGTGGCTTCTATGGCTCTAAACATGGGTTATTTGTAGCGATCCATCGGCGGAGATAGTGCCATGAAAAGCAGTTGTTTTTTACTGCGACATTGCTTCTTTTCCTGTAGGGATAGTGACCAAAAAAATAAATGATTGCCTTTTACCATAACATTCTGCTATGACTGTGCATGGAAAACAGGGTATTTTAAGCCAAAACATGATCTTTTCCCTGACCGTAACTAAGTAGTTTTTGTGCCTAAACCTGACCACAAGCTAACCATGTACAAACATAAAGTTTCAAAGTATCCGCTGCAAAATAACATGCAAATGTAATGTATTTATTGTTCGCACAAATGTACAATGGCATCATTTTTTTCTGGCAATGGGTTTGTTCAGTCCTATTATGGGTAAAAAATAAAACAAAAACAGCAAGTTTTGCTTAAAGATATCAGTTGAGGAAAAGTAAGTGTAGTGGTAAAAAAAATACAGCATTTTCCTCTTTATATACTGAATGTGCAACATTTTTTATCACAAAGAAATCTGATGAGATGAATCTCAGTAAAAGCCATCATCAGCCACATTGACTTCCCTTGTTCACTGCAATCCCATCACAAATGAGGAAATGATAAAGAAAAGCACACAAAATTACTTTTCTGACGCAACCGAGTTTTCTATTCTGCAAAATGGGCTACAGTACATCAACAAGATGTTCCTGATACTTTGAATATTATTGTGTCACCTTCTTGGAGCGATCAGCACACTCTGGGGCCTCTGGCCAACCAGTCGAGCTTGAATGCTCCTAACTGCCAAATTATTGGTTTGGCCTGCTGCGATTTCACACAGGCAAAATAATTCTTCTTCACAGGCTCTCAAAGGCTTTATTTTCATATCCTAGTCAAAGAAGAGATAGTGGTTAAAACAAGACTAGTAATAATTGCTACACTTGTTTTTTAAATCTCCTACTTTTTACTATATTTGCAGTCAATACACAGTTTTATAAATGCATACACGATGACAGAAATAAAAAAGTTACATCATACTTGAAGACTGAAAAAAGCCATTCAGGAGTTAATATGCTGTGTGATTGTGACTCATTTCCAAGAGAGATATTCTTCTCACATCAACAGCTTGTAAAAAAAAATGTAGAAGATGGAGGCTTCCTTTCAGCAAAGCAGAATTTTACTTCAAAACCTTCCTCTGAGCAACTCTGTGGTCTCTGCCAGCTGAAATCCAGCCAGCCACCACAGGCAATGTCTTCTTCAATTTATCCTCCAGCAACAGACAAGTGACACCATTGTGGGGAGGAAAGAGTCAAAACCGTGCGATACGTAGGTTCTGTCATTTTTAGACAATCATTTATTTCATGGTGCTAGTTTTACAGCTGTGTTCTCAGAAACCTGCAACTAAATACATAAAAAGTCAACTTTTCATTTGTTTTCAAGTTAACAATTTCTGAACACAGAGGCCAGGCGGGTGTGTAAAAAAGGGTTATCAACTCTGGAACACATTATCAACTGAAATCAAATTAATTCCAGATATAAAATCTTATAAAACCCATTTTTAGTTGATTATATGGTCAGTTACCAAGTTACCAAGTGATACAGAAAGTTATATACTTGAATTACACAGTACATGCAAAAGTCCAACTGGGGACAAGAATGAAAATTAGCAGTAGCTATAAACGCTCTGTGGAGCACATCAGTTTCATGCTCTAAATTAGAACTATGTTCACTTGCATCATCCCTATTCATGGGAGTATGTTTCAGGGGGGGCAGACGCAGGGGACACATCTCCCTCAATACAATATTTAGAACATGTGTATTTGTCCCCCCCCAATAAAAACATGAAAGTAGCATAAGACTTTTATTTGGTGAAATTAAAGACATTTACACCATAAATTAGTGCAGAAAAAATCACCAGTGTTTGATGCTCAAATTTTCTTGCAGAGGACCCCCCCAAATCCTCCTTTCATATGTGGCCCCTTCAGTGTTGAAAGGAAACTTACGCCCTTGTTCCTATCAAATAAAAATAAATTCTTAAAATAGAATGTCACCAGCTGCAGAGTCCTGGCAGAAAACAAACCAGCTCATGCTATTGATTAGTAGCAAAGGACACGCTTGAATGTCCCTGTTAACCCCATGCACTAGAACCCACCCCACTGTTTCCAGGAAAAAAAACAGAAGATCAGGAAGTCTCAGAACATAACAAAATGTGACATTGTACATGCTTCCTGTGATCAGTCTCAGCTACACTGCAGCTTTTCATCTTGTATTTCTCCAGCTTGAAGCCCAATGAACAAAACTAAGCAAATTTATTTAAGAATAAGAATAAACTCTGTCGATACAGGATCAGACCTGCTTTTCCTGCCGCAGCTGATGCTCTCCTGTGAGAATGAATGCACACTTTCAGCACTGTGCGCTGCACAAAAGCCCACACTAGAAAGTTCCCAGTGTTCAGCATGAGCAAGGCGATGTGGCATTCAGAAGGCCATCTGGCTGTATTATTTTACATATTCTTTCACCACAAAAACGTGGTGTTCTTGTGTTTCATGTGGCGCTTTGGCGATCTTTTCTAACGAGAGCATGACAAGAGGGCATGGTTCCTCTTTCACAGGGTTATTT